AGAAATATAAAGATAAATAAAGGGGGGAAGGGAGAAGGAGAGAAATGAATATATAGGGAAAGAGAAGGATTAGAAGAGAAAGAGAGAAAGAGATTGGAGTGGCCGAGAAAGCTGAAAGACAAAGAGGGCAATTTAAAAGAGAGAGGGGGTAGGCAATGATAAGAGAGAGAGTGAGGCCGGGAGGAAAAGAGAGAGAAAATTTGGGGGAGAGGAATAGGGAGAAAAGAGAGAGCTAAAAAGAGGGGTTAGGCATGAAAGAGGATGCGATAGAATATAGATAGGAAAAAAGAAAAATAGGGCCAGGAGAAATAAATGAGCAATAGAGAGAGAGAGACTGATAGAAAGGGAGAAAGAGTGTATGATATAGTGATAGAAATGAAAAGGTTCGAGAGAGAGATACAGATACATACAGAGAAGGACAAGGAGAGAAAGAAAGAGGAGGAGGCCCGGTAGAGCCATTCTCCTTACCATAAAAAAATAAACAAATGTTACGATTATAAATTAGTCTTGAACCTATCTAACTATAATCAAGATACTTAATTAAATCAACTTTATTATTAATTGTGATAAAGAAATTACGGTTTTTTCACCATATACCACTGAGTTTTATGTTATGTTACAAATACCACCAAGAATTTTCAAATTCACCACATAACCTTCAGTTTTATGAAAATATCACAACATGCCATTAATGACTAACAGACGTTAACACTGTTAGTCATCAAGGCTAACAATGCCACGTGGCAACGTCTAATTGGTTGCCTTTTAATTACTTAATTTTAAAATAAATATTTAATTAATTACTGATGAGTCTATTTTATATATATTTTATTCCCCGTCTCACGGTCATATTTGTGCTTATTTGAGCTCTGCGGAGCTATTTTTATTACTAATATACGTTTTCTAGTATTTTTATAGGGTTGGTATTATTTTGTAGGAATTTGCAAATTTATGATAATTTCCGAGCTTATTGAGCCACTACGAAGATATTAGAGTCGGAGCGTATTTTATGACCGAATATTTAAAGCTCAAGACCGAGTTAAAGAAATTTGATTCGGTGAATAAGAGTTCGATTATGATGGAGTCCAAGTTTAACAAACAATATACAAACTAAACAAGCTAAGGATTGGGCCAAACTTGCTGACCCAATCTCATGAGAGAGCCAAAGCTGCGCGTGAAAAAGCGGGCCCGGTCGGGCGGCTCATTGCCCGATCGGGCGAGTGTGTTTGATGTTTTAAGTCGGTTTGGGCTACAATGCTACAGGGCCTACATCTATATATTCCCAAATTTCTTGGACGAAGACGTCATTGATTGGCAGTAGCTTTAGTTTTTTAGCTTTTCATTAGTTTCAGTGGGATTTCATGATTTATTTCGTTGACTTTATTTCTTTACAAAACTTTTGCTCAGTTTTCTTTAGTTTTAGTTTTAGCTAATTTAAGCTTTTCTTTTTTGATTATTTTGTTTACAGAGGATTAAGATTATTGTCCATGGCAAGCCACATGGAGCGGCGCGAATTACTTGTATTTTAGGGTTATTTGTATTCTGGGGTTACTTGTAGGGTGTTACTTGTATAGGTTACCTGTAGGATATTACTTGTATTATGAGGTTACTTATATGGGTTATTTGTATCGTGGGGTTACTTGTATTCTGAGTAACTCCTACAAGTAACTCCAAACCAAAATCCCATACCAAACCAGTAATACCCAAGTAACCCCTGATCAAAACCAGTAACACCCATACAAGTAACCCTAGAATACAAGCAACACCTATAAGTAACCCCTGACAAAACCAGTAACACCCTACAAGTAACCCCGACCGAAACCAGTAACACCCATACAAGTAACCCCAAAATACAAGTAACACCTACAAGTAACCCCTTACAAAATCAGTAACACCCTACAAGTAACCCCGACCAAAACCAGTAACACCAATACAAGTAACCCCAGAATACAAGTAACCCCTGACAAAACCAGTAACACTCTACAAGTAACCCTTACCGCACCATGTGGTCAGCCACATACAAAAATTTGTATTTTGTTTAATGTTTCTTTAGTACTGCGTATTTTTTCTCCAAGATTACATCAATTAGATTTTGTAATTTTATAGTTTTCATTGCTTTAGTTTATTTAGTACTTTTGTTTTACTTTAATTTAATTTATTGTTTTCATATTAGTTAGATTATTATTATCTTTATCATGTTTTCTTTAATTGTTTTAATTATTTTAATTTTAATTATACACGATTATTTTAATTCTAGGGTTGTGGGGATCCATGAATAATATGAAGGGGTAATTTATTATTGTTAATTGTCAATGCTATATTAATTTCCTATTGATTGATTTAATGCTATGCAACTAGACTTGCGCAGGTCTATTATGTATGATTTTAGCAATATTGATTCGAGATTCGAGAGATGAGAATTGATGTTTAGGCTTAGTTTCAATAGGCGGACTAATTTATAAATGGTTAAGTCAAGATTCGAGAGATGAGATTTAATACCGATAAATTAACTCTGTGATTGTAATACGTAGCGAAAGCCCTTTATGATCTGATTAATTGATGCATTGATGATTGATTATTATGTTTTACCCTGGAATATTATTTATTGATGAACCTATGCCTTAGGTCTTTTATTCATTGTTTCTCCTCCTACTTTTATTCTTTCCCACTTTTACTCTTAGTAGTTTAGTTTCCCTTCGATAATAATAATTTGTTACTCTATAATCTAGATAATAATAAATAATTAGGAATAAAAAGACTTGTTTCCCTGTGGATTCGACCCTACTTCCCTATCTATTTTTGTTAGGGATTTTAGGAATTACTTTTGATTAGGTGATACGACTTTAGCCTGTCAATTACAAAAAAATTCAAAAATATCCAGCCACCCACACCCCGCCAGCAAGCCACCACGCATGCGCAGAATCCGACAAGAACCCTCGCGCCGACGCGAAATTCGACCATAACCCCCTGGCGACGAACCTCCCTTTCCCTTGAACAATCGGACCCGAACCCTAAAACCCCATATATCCCTTGAAAAACCCTCCCCTAACCAGGCGCACATACCCTCATCCCTCGCGTTGGCGAACCAAAGTCACCCCTACGATGCCATCTCCACCCCACAAACCACCATGTACGCCCGCTGAAACCCTAAACCAAAATCTAGGGTTTCAATTTCGGTGTTTTAGGGTTTCGGGGTGGTGATTTTGGGCAAGTTGGACGGTGGCAACGTGTGTGTGAAGGCTTGGGCTGCCGACAAAAGGATTTCGGGGTGGTGGCTGGGTTTTAAGTCGTGGGGAATTGAGTTAAGGTGGTGGTTAGGGAATTAGGCTAAGGTGGTGGTTGTGCTAAGGTGGTGGCTGGGCTCAGGGTTTTCGCTGACGGGAAAGGAGGATGGTTGTCGGCCATCCGGGAAACGAACCAGACACCGGTCAGCCAATGGGGGTCGAGGTCGGGGGAGGCCGTGGCTATGTTGGTGGTGTTTTTTTTTTCTTTTTTATTTTTTAAAGTGAATTAATTAATATTAATAATAAACAATTACAAGCTGCCACGTGGCACAATTAACGTTTAATGACTAACTGAGCTAATAGAAAGGGCATGTTGTGACATTTTCAAATAACTGAAGGTTATATGATGAATTTGAAAATTCTTGGTAATATATGGTGAATTAACGTTAAGCTCAGTGATATATGGTGAAAAAGCCGAAGAAATTATGATAAATTGGGGTAGCAATTGCAAAAAAAAAAAAAATATATAAAAAAAACCTAACAACAACTACACCGATTTAATGAATTTTATTATCACAATAGAATTATCTTCAGTGGCATACATACACTTATGCTACATAATATCCACACCCGATTGGGCTATGTGTCTTATTTTATGGAAAACAACAATTGGTCTTGTATGGAACCGGTCTACAATAAATTATTGTAGACCCAAATTTTGACAGTTTCAAATAATATAATCACATTGTGGATGATATAATCACCTTTTTAGATGATATAATTATCTTTTTGTGAGTCATATTTTGATTTCATATTAAACCATTTAATGAGATTATATAATTATCTTTAGGATGATAAAATTTAAAAATCATCTTTTGAATGATGTAATTTACTATTTGATACTTTTTATAATGATAAATTCACTTTTTAAGTGATACATTTACATAACAGTTTCAAGATGATATAATCACTTTTGTAATAATATAATCACATTTCGTATGATATAATCACATTCGTATGGTATACTAGAAGGTTGAGTCTACAATAAGTTATTGTAGACCGGGTCTATTCTAGTCTTTACCACATACCTATGCATACAATTCCTCCAAAAACTACTTTGCATTGCATACATATCATTTCTTTTGAAAAAATTAAACCTTACTAAAAAAAAGTATTACTAACATTGTATTTTATATCACAATAGAATTATCTTCACAAACAAACTAAGTCCCCGTTCACTTCACCTTAATTTTGTTGAATTGAAATTATTTTTGTTGAACTGAAATTATTTTTTTACTTGATTTTCTATTATATTTCTTCTTAAATTTACTTATTTTTATTGAGCTGAAATTATTTTTATTGAGCTGAAATTATTTTTGGTGAACTGAACTTAAATTAGTTTATTGATCTGAAATTATTTTACTGAATATCTATTTTTTTAAGGTGAAGTGAATATGGCCTAAATAATTCATTCCAATTGTACATAAACCAAGATTTTTTTTTTTCGAAAATTTAATATTCTATATAAAGCTTCTAATTTCACATTGTACTTCCATTTTAATTTTTTTAAATAAAAATAAAATGAAAATAACAATAACCACACTACGTACTAACTATATGTACGCTCAAAAATATCCACACCGATATTTTACCTGTGAGGCGGGCGATGACTTAACTAGTTTTTAAAAAGACAGGCTATTGTTCAACGTGAAAAATGCCTTGTTACTAACTTACTACGTACTGTGATGTGATGTAATTTGTCGTAGCAGGATAAGCAAAATAATTGTTACTCTTTACTCCACTAATTTTTTTTACTTAATATTTTTTGTGTGGTGGTAAGAAATTTGTACGGAGTACTAGGGAGTATAAATTAGAATGCCAAGAAGCGTATGAGCAAGCAAATCTCACTTCTAAATCAAGCATAATCGCATTTTCTTTCAAAAAATATTCAATATGTTGGGTTACTCCAAATTTGCTGTCTTTGCATTTCTCATGCTTACTGCATCAGGTATTCTTTCTGTTTGGGTCCAATTTAGTCCAAATTGGGCCTAAGCACTAAATGATCCAATTAAAAGCCCAAGGTCAAGGTTCAACTCTCCAATTGTGCTAAAGTCAAAGGTCAGCCCACAAAGCAAGCCAATTGGGCTAAGGCCCAACTTCTCCATATATGAAGAGGTATAAAAGCCATCAATATTTCATTTTTTTAGAGACATTACAACAAAGCCTCAAGCAACAAACTCTCTTGCATAGTGTCTACTTCTTACACATTGTACTGACTTTAGCATCGGAGGGGCCTTCCTCGGCAACACCCCCGAGGCTAGTTTACGTGTGTTTACTGTGCAGGAAACCTTCGGCCCAACATCACTTGGATCGAATCCAGTCTTCTCCATTTCATTGGACCTTCGACAAGGTCCCATTGTTTTCACCCGAAACAATTTGGCGCCGTCTGTGGGGACGACTTTCGAAAAAATCTTTAAGCCAAATTTCTAACCAAGATCATCTTGCAATTATCTTAGTAGCAATGGCTAAGAACCGCAAGAGCAAAGGCCTCCGTCAAGGAGCAGGCGAAAAGCCTAAAACCCCTACACCATCACCCTCGCCGGACCGGAACTCTCCCAAGGGTGCCAGCTCGGAGCGAGGATCATACAGGGAGGATTCCCTTTCTCCCGTAATTCATAATTCTCATCATAGGCCGAGTCACTCTCGGTCTAGCAGGGGTCAATCCGATCATAGGACGCATTCAGTGCCCCAAAGCCAACCATCGACCGTCCGCTCTCATTCCCATACTCAGCCGAGGACCCCTTTGACGGGGCCCAGCTCGGAGGAGGTGGCAAGAGCGTTGGCAGTGCTCATGGAGGCAATGAGGGCACAAAGTATGCCACCACCTCGTGATCGAACTCCTCCGCATACCCGGCATCAGCGGAGGAGGCTAGACCATGATGGCGGGAAACTTCCTTCCTTCCGGGAACTGGAAGAGTGGGAAGAGGATACCTGGAAAACCGAAAGAGAGAGGAAAAAGAACCCTCAATTCTTCAAAGGATCCTCAACCTCCCGACCAGAAACGCATAAGAGCAGCAGTTCAGCTTCTCGGCCAGAATCTGCTCACCGAGAACAACCTGAGACTGTTCGCCGAAGCGTCCTCGACCGACTCGGCGGCAAGGAACCGAGCGTGCACAGTCGCCTCTCGTTCCCTGCAGCCGAGGCCCAGACTTCCCAGCCAGGGACGAAAACCACTCCTACCTCTCTAAGAGGGCGGAGCGCGGTCCCTTCGGCCAGGAACAAGGGCAAGGCCGTTATGCTACCTGCCAGTTCGCCATTCGAGCAGTGGATACTGGAAGAGCACGTGCCTACGGTTAAAATACCGTCGCACATCACATATGATGGAACTTCGGATCCGAAGGACCACATTGCCTCGTATGAGGCTCATATGCATCTTTGCCCCAGATCCGAAGCGACTTGGTGCAAATATTTCCCAACTACTCTCAAGGGGGTCGCGCAAGCGTGGATCTCCAAGGGAGTAAAGCAAGGCTCCATAACAGGGTGGGATGATCTGTCCTCCAAATTTAGGAGCAAGTTTTCCACGGCAAACCGCCGAGAGAAGACTACTGCGGAACTCATGAGTCTGCAACAGGGGGAAACCGAAAGCCTCCGAGACTATCTGACCCGTTTCAGCAACGAGTCATCCAGTGTCTCTCAGCTGGACCAGGGGCTAGCCGTTTTTGCAATGCAAAATGGCCTTCAGCCCGGGAAGTTCCTAGACTTCATGGTCATGCATACCCCGCAGACCTTGGAGGAAGCTCTGAATGCCTCGGATAAGTTCATCCGAGCCGAAGAGTGGAATAAGGCGAAAACCCAACCTCAATTCGGGGGAGGGAAACAAAAACAAATACCCTCGTCTGAAGGCCAAGGCTATAAGGCAAAGGGAAAGTCAAAGGCCTCGGAGCAATCCTCGGCCAGCGACCCAAAGAAGGAAAAATCTGCCTCGTACACAGGCAGATACGAGTCCTACACTCCGCTCTCTCTTCCACGCGCCAAAATTTACAGCGTGACGAAGGAGGAGCAGAGTTACCGAAAGCCGAGACCACTCCCAGAGTGGTATCAGCGAAAAAATAAAAATCAGTGGTGCGAGTTCCACGAATCTCCGGGACATAACACTGAGGAGTGTATCCAACTGAAGGACCAGATAGAGGACATGGTCCGGAAGGGATACTTGAAAAAATACATCGCGGATTACCGCGAGAAAAAAGAGTCCGAGAAGTCAGCGAAGGACTCTCGGCAAGACCTCGATTTCCCCCGGAAGAACAGTAAAAAGCCAGAGGGAAAATTCTCTCCGATTAAGGTTATCTCGGGAGGAACATGCTCTCGGAGGGAGCACAAGCGACACCTTAGGGCTTTAACCCATCAGGTGAATAACGCTGACATTCAGTCTCCCCAGTCGCCGGTGCCGAACATGACGTTCACAGCCGCCGACTGCCGGGGGGTAACGTTCCCTCACGAGGATCCGTTGGTGATCATCGCCACGGTGGCCAACCATGACGTCAGTAAGGTTCTTGTTGACGGTGGCAGCGGAGCAAACATTCTGTTCCGAAAGGCCTACAATCAAATCAAGCTGAAGCCCAAGCACCTTACGCCGGTACCCTACCCGGTATCCGGGTTCAACGGGGCTTCAACTTATCCAGATGGGAAGGTGACACTTCCTATCACCATCGGCTGCGATGAAGCAGCCAGGAATGTCATGACTGAATTTTTGGTCATTGACGCTCCTTCAGTGTACAACGTGATTTTGGGGAGACCCATAATTCATGAGATCCAAGGGGTCGTCTCAACTTATCATCAGCTGATGATTTACGTCTCAGACGCGGGCTTCCCCGAAAGGATACAGGGCAACCAAAAGGACGCCCGAAGGTGCAACTACCTCAAGCCATCCAGTAGTCGACCAGACGACGACAAGGATGAGGAGGAGAAAGAAAAAGAAAGAGAGCCAAGCACAAAAAAGCCGAGAGGCCTAAGTGCTTCGGCCCAAGGATCTGTACCCAGAGATAAAGGGCCCGAAAGGGAAAAGGCTAGCTCCTCAGCTGAGCCGCAAGACTCGGAGAGCCAGCCGAAGAACAAAAAGACTGGGACACCTGCTGACATTGGCAGCAGGCCAGATTATGAAGAGTCCAATCCATCAGCAATGGACATGGACCAACAGACTGAAACAGTTGAGTTGGTCGAAGGAGACGCTGAGAAAAGTGTAACAATCGGGATGGACCTTGATCCGAACACCCGTTGCGAACTTATTCAGCTCCTTCGGGATAACAGAGATGTGTTTGCTTTCTCGGCAGCTGATATGCCCGGGATAAGTTCAGACCTCATCTCCCATAAGCTTAATGTTGACCCGACGTGTCGACCAGTTAAGCAAAAGAAGCGGAATTACTCCGCCAATAAGAACCGAGACATCGCAGCCGAGGTCAAAAAATTACTGGAGGCAGGATTCATTGAACCTTGCCAATATCCAGAATGGCTGGCAAATGTGGTGATGGTTCAGAAGCCCAATGGTACCTGGAGGATGTGCGTCGACTTCACGGACCTAAATAAGGCTTGTCCAAAGGATTTCTATCCCTTGCCGAGAATCGATCAGCTAGTCGATTCGACAAGTGGCCATGCCTTGCTTAGCTTCATGGACGCATTCTCGGGGTATCATCAGATCTTTATGCACCCCGACGATCGAGCCAAGACAGCATTCGTCACGAACGCTGGGGTGTACAATTACAAAATGATGCCCTTCGGATTGAAAAATGCGGGGGCAACCTATCAAAGGCTGGTGGATCAGGTTTTCGCCGATCAAAAGGGCCGAAACATGGAAGTCTATGTCGACGACTCGATCGTCAAAAGCAAAAAACTAGAGGACCATGTAAAGGACCTGGCTGAAACTTTCGCCACCTTGAGAAAGCATCAAATGAAGCTGAATCCGAAGAAGTGTGTCTTCGGCGTGAAGTCAGGGAAATTCCTGGGGTTCATGGTCAGCAAGAGGGGGATTGATGCCAATCCCTCTAAAGTCAAAGCGGCGCTCGACCTTCCTGAGCCGAAAACGAAGCGGGATGTTCAACGGCTCACCGGAAGAATGGCGGCCCTCTCGAGGTTCATTTCCAGAGCTTCGGATAAGGGGTTACCTTTCTTCAAAGCCCTGAAACTCCCGAAAACGAAAGAGCTCGTTTGGGAGGAAGAGCAAAAAGACGCCTTTAAACAGCTTCGGGAGCATCTGGCTCAACTCCCAACGCTGGCTAGCCCAGCTGAAGGAGAAACTTTGTACCTATATGTGGCCGTTAGCCCAGCCACCATCAGCGCAGTATTGCTGAAGGAAGAGAGTAAGAGTCAGCAACCGATCTACTTCGTCAGTCATACACTGACGGATGCCGAGACTCGCTATCCTCTACTCGAGAAAGTTGCTTTCGCGGTAGTAGTAGCTGCTCGGAAGCTAAGGCCCTATTTTGATTGCCATCAGATAGTGGTCTTAACTGATCAGCCGTTGGAAAAAGTTCTCGGCAAGGTTGAAAAATCTGGTAGGCTAGCCAAGTGGGCTTTTGAGCTCACCGAATTCAGCATCAGCTACCGTCCGAGGACTGCCATTAAGGCTCAAGCTCTAGCGGATTTCTTGGCCGAATGCTCATACCAAGAAACGCTAGACAATGAAAAGAAAGTCTGGACCGTGTTTACGGATGGATCTTCCACCGAAAACGGTTCGGGGGCAGGAGTAGTGATAACTTCTCCCGAAGGCAAATCTTTCGAGTATGCACTAAAATTTTCTTTTAAGGCCTCGAACAACGAAGCCGAATATGAGGCAGCAATCGCTGGCCTAGAATTGTGCATCTCCTTGGAAGCCGATCATGTCTGCTTAAAAACAGACTCTCAGCTAGTTGCATATCAGATCAGTGGCAGTTACGAGGCCAAAGAGCCCTCCATGATAGCTTATCTTGCTAAGACCAAATCAGTCATTGCAAAGCTGAAAACTTTTGAGGTTCAGCT